ACAAAAAGGCTGCTTCATTCCGATTCCAAGAATGAATTTCATTTAAAATGATCCATCTGTACGTTTCCATTTCCTGAAATACTTTTTTGTCCATTTCTCCAAATAAGTAAGAGTAGTCTGATAAAATGAAACAATAACTTGTCGAAATTCAACAATTTCGTTCTCTGACACGTCTCTATTGTCTTAAAGATTCTCTACAGTTTTTTTTTAACATTTATTGGAATAAAGTTATCCTCTATCTTGCTCAATATTGAAATTTTTAAAGCATCCGTTGAAGCAATTACGTCAAATACAAACGCAGTTTAATTTTCAGTTACTGTAATAACTTAATGAAATATTGAAGCCTGAGTGTTAATAAAATGTTGCCAGACTTCTGCCACTGGATTTTCAAAGAATTTAAAAATAGGCATGGGGCAGTTTTGAGATCGAAAATAAGCCTTCAATTGTAAAGTACTTGGAATACCATTTCAATGGCGGAGAGTAATGCTAACCCTTGTATCATTGAAAAACTGGTTTCTACGAAGTTTCAGAAATTTTTTAATGTTTCTACTCTAACAATATAAGATCTCTAGTAATCTTAGAAGTAATAATTTCTACATCACCCACCAAACATCAGCTGATGTTCTTACAATGTTATTGTTAATGTTACAATGTTAATGTTCTTACAATGATAATACGCTCCAATTAAACCATGATTAAAGTTTCCTTTCAGTTTAACAAAATCATTATTTTCTCCATGTTTGTCAGCTCCTTCAAAGTTAGAATTCATATTATCGACACAAAGGCCCATAACTGTTTCTTTTGAATTATTTTCTCCATGTCTGTCAGCTCCTCCAAAGTTAGAATTCATATTATCGACACAAAGGCCCATAACTGTTTCTTTTGAATTATTTTCTTCAAGACAGGGAGTTATATAAGTGATGGCAATATCAGATGGCTCACCAGGTTACAAGATCTAACCTTTTTAGCCATCATGCAATGTGAATAGATCTCAGTGTACAACCTGGCGACCTCTCGCACAGAAGTGAAGATGAACACAACAGAGAAAGGGTGTAAAAAGTCCTTTTTATTAAGCATAACTCTAACAGAAAGGCTTGGACTTCGTGCTTACAATAGCATCTACTACTTGGGATGATAACTTAAAGATGACAATGAATTCAAAAGGGAAGAAGTAGTGCGACACTACACAATTTAATTTAATCTAACAGGCTGACTCAGAAACCTACACCGGCGATATCCTAACTAGACGGTCAGAATGCGTAGCCGCTACTAAGATTAACTGCTGGAGGACAAAACAACAAACCTCGGCGACACCAGCGTACACCACGCTCTGTCTAAACTTCGTGTATCGTGGAATCCTTGGTGCTTAGGCTTGTAAATACTAAGAATTTTAACCTATCGATAATATAGCTCAAAGGCCGATGGCGTTAATTAAGGAATAAACGTATATGCGCAGAATGAAAAACAATATTTTCTGTCTAAACTTTCCGTTTATATACTCTAGTTCACCTACTTAATTTGCATCATGGCGAGGAAATGTGGTCGGAAAATAAGAGAATTCAGAGGAGATACCAAAATTAAAATAACTGGTTAGTGAACTAAAGGAACCTTACAAGGTAAGCATTTAAATTCTAAAATTTTTACACTAACTCCATAACTCCCAATCTATAAATTTAAGGAGTATTGGATAAAGTTTTATTTCCTTGCCAGTCGGTGCCGTAAAAAACCAATGATGCTCTCGTCGGGATTCGAACAACAGATACTTCTATTATTATCTCGAGGTTCTACCAGTTACACCATAAGATCACGCGCACAGGTGAGGGTGATAATTCTTCATGGACTGAAGGAGGTGTTTGTTGCGATTTGGAAAAATAGTTCAAATTGCAGCAAGGTTTTAAACATATTAATCAATAATTTTCTTTAATATGTTTCCACTGTTTTAGCTGAAAAGGGAGGTTACTGATTCTATAATACCGATTCTTAAAGTTATTGCGTTGCAGATACTCTGTTAAGAGGTTCTGAACAGATGTTCTGACATGACATTTGATTTTTTAAATTCTGCGTTTGATTTCATTCTTATAAGATGCACATAAAACTGATAAGAATCACGTGTCTCATAGAAAGCATCTATAAATTCTTAATAAACTTGAGGGAAAGGTGTCTACAGCGTCATGTTTTATCATCTGAAGGTATTTAGAGCAAACGAAAGGAATTTTCCCTATTCAGTTGGAAATAAAATTGCTCCAACTACATAAATCCAAAATTGATTGCTTTTTTTCCTCATTCGAATAGTGTTTAAATCAACTCTTAGGTTTTTTTTTTTTAATCCCAAATTTCTATCGCAAGAGTTTATTTATTTTATTATCACAACATCTTAAGAATTTCTCATGGGTACGATTTCCGATTACACTTCATAATAAAATTGCATTTTTATATTAAGGTTTTACATTACGTAATTCTCCTTACTCACATTGTGGAAGCAAACACCTTGGTGGTCTTTAATTCTTGAATCACAGATTATTAGAAGCTGCCCTATAATTTTCCAAGGCTCTTTACGATAATAAGTTAAAAACTTTTATAGAAGCCTTTCTTTTAACAATTATTATTCTGGAAAGTGAATATATAATGATCTCTGTTGGAATTCATATTATAATTATCTGAAGTTTACTAAGTTCGGTTGAAAATGAAGTTAAAACATTCTTCTAGAGAAAAGCCGTGGAAGGAATATTAACATATTATCCACACGCAGGACAATATTTAGTGATTTTTTAAAAAGTCACTTACGTACCTTTTAAAGTATTTCTAGACTGATTTATGCATGATTAATAAAATGCTTCTTGTTTGTACCAAAACGAAATTAAAATGATTAATTCTACTATTTTGTTACTTAAATTGCCATTAATTTAAAAAGGCTAGGGGAACAACAGTTTGCGTAATTAGATACTGAATTTAGATATCACGCAGCGAAGATGGTGGTGGATACTTCAGAGCTTTTAGCCTAAATGGTGATCTTGATGATAATCAATCAGAGACAGATTTAACTACCGATTCTGACATTATTCTGTTACGCATTATGCTAATTAAAAACTTCAATTAAACCGCTTATAAAACTGATTTGTGTGGGTAGTCGATTACCGCGTCTAATTTGCAATACTTACCCCACCCAGAGAGCGTTTAATTAATGCGCACCTGCATATTTTTCACGAATAATGTTACAATAGTTTATGTAAACGGCTTGGAATAAAATAGAGTACTGTAACAGGTTATTTAGAGATTATGTTGATAAATAATGAAGGAAATAGAAATATGAACGCGATTTTTAGTTGCTGTATGTAACATCCGGCTCCCTTACTGAAGATCAGGGAATAAACTCTTAACGATATTTAATCTATGATAATTACGTTTCTCATTTAGTTTAAAAAATTTGTTAATTAAATTGAATCCTTAGATTTTTACAAAATTGTTCTTTCCATGACTTGTCGAAGTTCCTTTTCCTCACAAAAATCAGTACTGTTTACTTGGACATATTATGCTGCCTTTATCTTTTAATAAAAACCTGTAAGTATGAAGTTAGTTAAGCGAATACACAAGCCTCATACTTAAGATTGAAATCCTCGTTTTAGTACTAGAGTTAAATTTGTACCTATAAGGAGAAAATAGAAATGTGATAAAAATAAGGATAACTGTTTCAAGGTGATAACTTTTTATTCGATTATAGAAGTATAGAGTTAATGCCAGTAGCACTAAAACTTAACGAACCTTTTACGCCATTTGTAATGAAAAAAAAGTGTTTGACAGGTATATTTATTTTATTTAAAGAAAAAAAGAAGACAGTATAATTATTTTCAAGTTAAGATAAGCCAGAGCAGAGCAAAGCAGAGAGTTAAAAAAAATTAGCTAGAAGTAAGTAATACTGTGTTTGAGGCGTATACTACAATACACTAAAATTTTACACTAAAATTAACTAAAATTAAATTTTACACTAAATTTAAATTTATTTTACACTAAAATTAAATTTATACACTAAAATTTTTCATTTTCGGATGCGAATTGGATACTGATAACAAATAGCTCTTAAATACAAAATATACCACTTGCTGTGGATATTTATGATTATGTGCTTGTGTACATCTCAGCAAGATAAATTTACACGATATGTTTAAATTCATGTATCAAAATTATGCAGAAACATTTTATGACTTTACGAAGACAGCTAAACATAAGACTTTATAGCGATAATAGTAGTTCAGGTCTAAATAATTAATTTCCAATGCATAGAAATTTGTAACTCAAAAAGGCTTATTATGTTCTGTTTTGTTTCTGTTTAATAGCCTCATGTACAAGGTATTCCTGTTTTCTGATATTCGAATCCTAGAATTTCCGCACTTGTGTCTAACATACTTTTCTTCAGATCTCATCAGTAGTGATTTCGAATTTTAAATTATTGCTCCGTTTTAAATTGGTATATCATACTAACTTAGCATTAAACTGCAAAAGAGATGTCATAAATTTCCTTTGTACTGACTCTGCCAATTTATTTTGCTGTCAGGGAATTCCTGTCCTAAAATACATAGAACAAGATTCTCAAAGAAAAGTACAGCAACTCAATCAAAAATCCATCACACATGTGACTAACAGTAAAATATTTTTTATATGTTTACCGTAACTGAGAATAATAATAACAACAAAAAAAAACATAACTGTGCTCAATGTTAAATGGATTTGTGTCCAAAGATTCTATGTTACAAACTAGTAGTTATGTCTGCAATCTTGTAAGTCTTAAGAAACTGAAACCATACATCATTACTCTTTATTGAAGTTTTACTGTTATGATCGAATGAATCTAGATGAGTAGCAAACACGTTTTTTCATGACACTTGCTTGTGCAAATGCCTTTCTGATGGGAAATTTAGAACCTTCATAAACAAATAATAATGAAGTTTCAGCATTGCTTTACTATATTATCCCATTCAGTATACGTTTCCTTTTTTTTTTTCCAGGTTCGGCCGAAAGAAAACCTTTTGCTGGGTTGTTCTCCTGTCTGTTTTATCAAATATGGCAACTATACTGGCACCTGATCATGTGACTTTCACTGCCGCTAGATTTTTAACGGCGTTTGGCATTGCTACAATATCAACAACATCTTTCATGATAGGTGAGTAGACATTAGAAACTCAGTGATGCTTATCTACATTAAGCACTCTTACTTGGTTACATAACATTGAAAATGTTGATTGCACCATTTTAGCTGCAATCAACATTTTCAAAGTTACGATGTCAGGCTATGTTTGTGTTGAAAAACTGCCGCTTTTATAACCTTCTAATCAATACATATATTCAGTCAAATTGATATCTTCCGGGATAGGAAAATGAAAATATGTATGGGAAATTCAGTAGCAACCTGTCAACGTAATGAAATATTAACAAAAGTCTGATTCTTTGATAAATATTATCAGTCAACATTTTGTTGAAGAAATTCTAAAATGTATCACTAAAGTAATCAACATTATCAAAATATGTCTAATATGTTAAAATATAATAAGTTTATAAAATATTTAATTGCAAGAAGTCTAAAGAAGTATTCCTCATTGAAGTTTATACAGGTATTTAGATAGCTTTCCTAATCACGAAGAAACTATTTTCTGTTAAAAGTTTAATAGTTACATAACGTTTAATGATAGTTTTTATACATAAGATGAGCAGCATATTATTTTTATAATAATATAATTTGTCTATTTACATTTTAAAATTTACGTGAAAGTTAAGTTCATACATAATTTAAGCTGGAGAAGTAAATTTCTTTAGAGCTTTAAATTTATGCTTTATTAATAATTAAAACTAAATTTCATTTAATGTGACAGATATATTTCCTGTTATTAATATATTTTATCTTGATATTTACCAGATCAAGGCAGTTTTATATTTGCAATAAATAAAGTAGGTATATATATATTACTTAAATACAAATAAATAAAATTTATTCAACTTTTAAATTCATATTATCTGAAGCTTGTAAATTTTGCACACACTTCGAATAACCATGTTTCACTTAAATGCATCTCAACAGCAATTAGAGATAAATTAGTAAGAGCAGTTAGAGATAAATTAGTATTACTGCGCATATTACTAATTTTAGAATAGGAAACACAGCAATCAACTTTAATAGGAAAACTGAAAAATAATTTTTAGTAAGATAAGTTGCATTGTTTAGTAAAATATTACCACAGTCTATTAGTTCACAGGCATCAAAGTTTAAATTAGATTTAAAGTATTCTCCATAATTAACTGCCTGTGTATTTTTCACTTTTCTAGACGCAGTTTTGATCACCAAAATTCAATTGAGAGTGCAAATAAATTCTTTCAGTGCGTTTTTACGAGCAATATTGATTGCAAACGTTTGGATAAACTGAAACTTTAGCTATCATAATTCAATGTTTTCAGAACAATGTGGGAAAGATGCAGGGCTTAAAATATGGGGGGGGGGACTCAAAGACACCTATAAATTTTAACGTAAAAATCAGATGTATTAGAAACACAAGGCAAGCTTTTTGTATCTTTTAAAAACAGAAGCAATATCACCATCATCGCTTTTGAAATTCAGTTGCTTGAATATATAGGTTAGATATATCATTTTCCTCTTCAAGGCCAATTAATAATATGATAAACTAACACCACATTTAATATAAGACAAAATGTTCCTATGCTCAAAATGCCCGCACGAAAATAGTCCATGGAACTTGCAGCATTCAAGCATTTAATTTTATTAAATTAATTTAATTAATTAATTAATAAAAAATTAAGTGTAAATTAAAGGTGATAAGTACGAATAATTTTTATACTTTAAAAGAGCGAGTTAAATTTAAATATATGAAAAATGAACTTTTTCCTTTGTGAAAAATATAGCATTAATTTTTGTAGAAAGTGCAAGATTTAAAAATTTAACATGCAAGTTAAAAGTATGGTATTATTCGGTTTTGAGGGCCGTAAAAAATCGCCAAACTTTTGCTGATGCCAGTATTGCTAAAAGTAATTGCGGGAACCCGAACGAAAGAAAGGAAGTATAAAAGTAAATAACTAAGATTGATGTTTTAATTTAGATGAAAGGTTAACTTCATATAATACTTTATTATTACAATTTATATAAAAAGGCTAAACATGACTGAATGGATTATTGCTGATGCCAGTATTGCTAAAAGTAATTGCGGGAACCCGAACGAAAGAAAGGAAGTATAAAAGTAAATAACTAAGATTGATGTTTTAATTTAGATGAAAGGTTAACTTCATATAATACTTTATTATTACAATTTATATAAAAAGGCTAAACATGACTGAATGGAAGCATAAGAGTAAATAACTATTTCAGATCATTATTATAATTTATATAAAAATTGCTAAACATAACTGAATGGATGCCTGTATCGCTATTTCGCTACCGAGTTATCGCTAAAGCATAGTTTCATCTCGTTGGTTGTTCAAACATAATTTTCTATAATGAATGATGCCTTTTCTTTGAAAAAATTCTCCGTAAAGTGCAGAATCGTCCACTTATTTGTTTGCCGCTTCTTACAAGGGTAAAAACAATTGAGTTTTTGTCAATTTTCTTTTACTTTTTAAGGGAAAATAGGTCGATGTGTACATAGATAAAGTCAAGGGTGTGCGCAGTGCTATTTTTGTGCAATTCTGGGAATTTTTTTGAAGTGAAAATGGGTTGATGTGTATGTTACCGTGAAAGACCGAAATTGGAGAATGTCGACTTTCACCGGAGAATGTCAACATTCACCAAATACGTCGGTGAAAGATCGAATATTGCACTACATTCTTGTATATTCGGTCCCTCACCGGTGTATGTCGACAATCACAGATATGCTCTGGTGAAAGTCGAAAAGAGAGGTTATAAAGTGCCATAATAGTTTAAGTTGTTGCAATAAATAAGATTTGAATCACATAATTTAGTAAGATTTTTTAATTTAGTTACTGTTATTTTATTTTCTCATTTAGAACGTACTGTATAATTAAGCAAGTTTTTAACTTCTATTATTTTCCTTTCTCATTTTGAAGGTATTGTGTGTTTTAGGTTCTCATGTTCTTAAGTTCTTATTTCAAGTCTCAAGTGCGTTTATTCGCGACTGAATTACGGAGAAGAAAATATAATATTGTTATATGTTCAACATTCATCATTAGTACATGGTGAATGTTGACATTGACCGGTGTAAATCAGAAATAAGAGTATTTGGAAAATATTTCGGACATACACCAAGAGACTATGTGAATATTGACATTCACCGGTGAAAGTCGACATTCTCCAGTTGTCGGTGTTTCACCGTAACATGGATAACATGTACATGGATACCGAGTATGTGCAATTCTTAAAAACGCGTCAAGCAGTAGGGGATTCTGCACTTTACCCAAAATTCTATTGCACACTTTTCGTCATGGGCAATTCCCTAATTGTTAAATCCATAGCATATCGAAAAGAATTTAAAAATTAAACTAGTATTTCAGTGGCGTCTTAAGAAGTATAAAACTATATAAACTTACGCAATCTGAAAACAGCGCGTACGCTAGATTTGTTGCGCTGTTAAATGGGTGCGTTTGCTATATTTGGCGCTTTTTCGCATACATTTTCGCTGCAATTTTTTTACGGTCCTCCAAACGGAATAGTACCAAAAGTACTATTAATTAAAAATTCGGTTGATCTTTACAATATGGTAACTGGTAGTTTGGCGACATTTTGGACGCGATAAATGTTACTACCTGGCACTTTGGTAATAATGTGAGCAGTACTCAGTTCCGATTACGCATTATTTTGTGTGAGGGAAATGAGAGATCATGGGATATGTCATGTGATATTAATGGACGAATTACGGTTCTTTAATCGGAAAAGGGGGGAAATCGGGAAAAAATCCTGGAAATTTTGTATTTGGCTTTATTCTGTGTTGTGTGAAACAGTGTTCGTGAATTTTTGGATCCCATGGCCCTAACTAAAGTGAATTCGAAATGGGTTATTTATGTATGTATTAATTTAATGTATGTGCTCATTTATATTTAAGTAGTGTTTTTTGAATTTAATTATTATTTTAATTAAAAATGATAGTTTATTTTGTGAATTTTATGTTTGTAAGGAATTTGGTATACGTTTTAGTTGAAGTAAACGTGCATGGAAATAATTTAAATATTTGACACTAAGTATTTGTAATGCTTGCGGTATGAATTCGTTGGTGACGTTAGAATGTAATAGATGATTTAGAGGTAAAAGTTTTGGATATTTTATTTATTTTATATGTGGAAATGTTCATTACTTTTTCGCGATCAGGTAATTTATATGTTCTTTTTACCGGGTTTAAAGATTCAGAAAATTGTCATGTATTTTCGTGAAATTTTTCTAATTTATGAGAAAAAAGCAGTGTACATGGATATAGTGAAGAGTGTGCGCAATGCCATTTTTGTGTAATTCTGGGATTTTTTTTAAGTAAAAATAAGTCGACGTGTACATGGTTTATGTGTATGTGTTATTTTGAAAAACACGTAAGGAGTATGGGATTGTGCACTTTTTCCCAATTTTGCAGTGAATATTTGTCATGATTAAGCAGTTTTGTTAGATAAAATTTCTAGCATAAGTGTAATTCGGCTTGTAGATTGTTGGAAGAAGTGTTCAGTAGATAAAAAGAAAAGAAACATGTCTTTACTTCGTGAAGACAAAATGGCGGCGGGAAAAAAAATAGAGGGTTGCTGTAGGAGAGTTGGTCGCCAAATTTCGCCAAAAAAACGCCAAGTTACCATAATGTAAAGATCAACCAAAAATTCCATTACTGAAATTACAAGAGAAAATATTTGAAGCTTCCGACTTCCTTTCATCTATGTTTATCTGCTATATTTTATTTAGAAAAATGTAGAACAATTTATATGACACAATGAATTTCAAGGATTAGTGAGTTAAAGGTTGTCGCAACTTCTTTGGGAAAAGCATCTTTTATTGAAAATATATATATCGACATTTTTAAAGTTACATCTATACAATTGACGCTTTTGAATTTGTGACACTATAAAAAATAAAAGAAATATGACTTTTAACTATACATAAATCTGAAGATTTGTAAAAATGTTCTTCAAGTGTAAATCAAATCCGCGACCTTCCTTTCAGAATGACTTATAAGG